TACAAATTCAGGTTTTCGTCACCTCCGTCAGTTGAATATTTTGATAATATTTCATTATGATATTTTATATTTGTTGTGGAATTGTTGGTCACATGTGAAAGTGTAATCTGTCTGCTAACACGAGAATGTGTTTTGAAATGTTAAAAACATCTTGAGTGCTGTTAAAGATAAAGTTGAAATTATATTACACAGTCCAAGGTAAAAAAGCACATTTTGTTAAAAAAAGAGAAAAGTTGGGAGGTTGTATCAAAGCATAGCTCAGTAGCTTAGTACATATAAGATACATAAATGTAGTTTCATTTGTCTCAGTACAAGGTCTTATTTTTTCAATTTTGCACCCTGTTTTGTCCCACTTCTCAAGAATGACTGCAAAGCAAATGCTGTAAGAAATGACTTGAATAACATTTAATAACCATGAAGCTGGCTGATATAACTAGAAGCTGCTTAGAACAGCAGTGGAATGGCAAAGCCAAGCACATGACTCAGAATGACTCTCTAACAAGCACACACAGCATGTACTGACCTCTCATATTTACAGCTCAAACTTCAAAGCCAAGCTAAGTGGCGTTGTGTCAATGTCTAGGCACATTACCAACACGCACTGGTGGATTTTGTGTTGTGCATACACTGTACAGTACCTTGCTTTACTTGTTTCATCCGATCTTGAAATAACATGCACGTTTATATCCCAGCTTGAAACTGTCAAGACAGCTTGGGCCTGTATATCATGAGTGTCTGAAAGGGGGGTGGGGACATTGGAAAAACATACATATTTCTTACATATAATAAATACTAACCCTCAGCACCTGAGTCTTACATTATATATAGTATATTATACTATATATAGTATATTTTATTATTAATATTTATTAATATTTTATTTTATTTTTTAAATGAACAAATTTATTTTATAATCATTAACAGAATTGGAAAATGTAAACCTTTTCCGTGGCAAAACGGTTTGTACTATTTCACTGACAACAAAATTACTAACCTGGCCTCAGTACTTTCTGGCGAAGACGCTGTCCTTTTTTGTTTTAATGCAGCAGTCACATATTGTGTCTTTGACAACTACAGTTACTTTTAAAGCATCAAGTGAAAGTTGACAAGCGCTGAATGATTTCAATAACCACGCTCTTCACAGACTTCTCAGAAAAATCGTCATATGGCGTTGTTTACCATCTCTAGTAGGGATGGGCGTATCGATCCGAAGTATCGATATAACGATCTAATCTCTAGCTCCCGCCACGAGCGCCCAACACTCAGCGCGTGATCACCTCAACGAGCGCGCACACTTTGCAGGCCTAGAAGTTTCTCTTTTTACTTGAAATGGTGTCCTGTGGCAGCAATTCAACTTTTTTGGATGCCAACTGCCATTAAACACCAAGGAAGAAGAAATGGCGTCCTAACACTGCGCTCATGGCATGCGGAAATTTTGGAAAAGCAACAACGCGGCACAACTTTAAAAGAAGTCCATCTAGTGCATGTTTACACAAGAATTAATAATGAAATTTACTTTCATGAATTTAAGGACTAAATGAGAATTAAAAAAATTAGGAGTATAGGTATAAATTAGTCTTCACGTGTGAATTTTGTAAAATAAAAAGGTAAAAGAATAGCTATGGTACACAAAAATACATATATTTTATTCGGTCGAACAATGACCTTGAGCAAGCAAGTGCAATACAAGCAAGTAGGTTAGATGTATAAAGTTCAGTAATAGTACTTTTCATGTGGCCATTAACTATAATTAACATTATAATGCTTGTGAAATTCTTAAACCATGTTTGATGTTCAAAAAAAAAAACAGTCAGAGACAACCCAAACTCCTTTAGCTCAGGACAATTTAAGTGTGTCTTTGCATGGGAAGCATGGTTTAATCTACAAGAACAGCAAACCAGTACTAAGGATTTGCACCAACATAATTTTTAGTAACAAGTTGTAGGTCCATTACAGACTATTTTATTTACTGATGTGGTACAGTATTCTGGAGAGAGAAAAAAAACTTTGGTAGTGTTGTCATGGTCAAACATTTGATTTGACAGTCTACTTCCTAACATTCTTAATTTAAAAACGCTTATGGGTTACACAGCACAATTCAGTAGAATGAGGCCATGGCTTAAGAGTCTAAACTTTAACAATGCTCCTCAGAACAAAACTATTGCGTCGCCCTTTGGTTTTTACCACATTTGGGTCTTCTTGCAAACCATGCTTGCATGAGATCCCACGTGTACATAAACATACAGACTCTCATAGCTTTCTATACCAGTAGATTTAATATTTATCCATTTACAGGTCAAGTAGAAAGAGCACAATTTGTACAAATACATGTAACATTTGACATGAGCCATGTTCATATCTGTAACATTGTTTAAAAGATTAAGCTTAAAATACAGTGACTTGCATCACAAACAAATGGTTAACTGGATCAAAAGAGAAAAAAAAAAAAGTAAAAAGTAAACTTCTGATAGCTTAGTGCATTCCAAGATAGCTTAACTTCAATAGAAGAAACTTTCTACAATATACTGGCAGTGCTCCAGACTAAAATTACTTTAAAATAAAACAAAAAAGTAACAAGCGTTCAGAAAGAACACAAATACATTACAATATTTAATAAAAACCAAAAAGAATTAAAACAGCATGAAATATTAAAAGAAACAAAAGTAGGTGAACTACTGGCATTTCCAGAATGCAGTCCAGTGGCCTTACACTAGGGGATAGCCGGCAGATGTCGCAATGCCACAATGGTTCTGTCGGTCTTTAGCCATGTAGATGTAGCCTTTGTCACCCCATTTCTCAGTCCAGCTAAAAGATACAGAACAAGTTTAAAAACCATGCAAATGAGGTTGTGTTAAAGGTTATTGAAAAAATCAGAACTGAGTGCATCATTAAAAGGACTCCAGAGGCAAGTCATACCTGTTCTTCACAATCCAGTATCTCTTCCCAGCAACATCAGCACCCTCATAACCATAACCAACCACCAGGACTGCATGGTCAAGTTCTACACCACTGCACTCCCTCTCATAATAGATGCCTACAGTAGAAAGTTAGAAATGAGTAAGAGATGTTCAGTCTGACTCAGGTTTAAAGGCAAGCCATGTAGTTTTGTAATAGCTCATACAAGTTTTTGCATAATAAACAAAAATGAATCCGAATTAGACTGTTTACACAGCTCAGAGATAATCACTCACCAGACTGATAGAACTGGAAGGATTCATGGCCAGCATCAATGGCAACAGCTACAGGACCCACAGCAGCAACAGCCCTCATTAGAGCATGTTCTTTACCACTGGGAATGTCCACAAAACCAGTGTCATTAACAGCATTATAACGGGGGTCATAGCGGCACTGCTGATCATCCTGTATTTGTAATAAAAAACAAATTTAAAAAAAAGATTTACATGTGAGGTTACTGAATATACAATGATACATGTTTGAAATGGGAGCAAAACCTTTAAGGTTGACACCCACAATATATTAACTACCATTACAAGTCAGAAAGAGCAAACCACTGATTCTTACCGTTCCAAGGTAGGGATACGACTCTTCTGAATCCAGCCCATTGTTGTCCTGAACATACTGGAAAGCCTGGTCCATGAAGCCTCCATTACAGCCTTGATTGCCCTCCGGCCTGGAACAGTCCATCAAGTTTTGCTCACTCAGAGAAACCAGCTTTCCAGTTTTGCGGAACAGCTGACCCTCCAAGGCACCTGTTGAGCTGAAAGCCCAGCAAGATCCACAACGTTTCTAGGACCACAAAACAGGACTTTGTTACCAAACAGTCAAGCAACATGCAGTTTTTGAAATATTACCAGATACAGAATAAACATAAGCTCCAGGAACTAGTTTGATAAACTGCTTACTTGGTCTTTGATAGGAGTAACATAACCCTTCTCTCTCCAGTCAACCTGTTGAGGGGCTTCAAAAAAGCTGGGTTCCATGAACAATGAGCCTTTTGATTTCCGGCTGGGGTCATGATTGTAACCATTCATCACCTGTCTGAACTCCTCATTTGTCTAAAAGTGAAAATGCAAACAAAAGGGTTTATTAAAAGAGTCCTATAAAAAAAAAATCATAATGTCAATCATAAGTATGAAAGTGCCAGTTTACAGCAGATCCATCAGTTTAGATGTTGTAGACAAAAACAAAATCAGAAGTCATATTGAACTGTTTACCATATCACCAAATTGGTTCATGCCCAGTTGGAAGGTGTGTTTGCCCACAGAGTGCTCAAGGTTGTGCAGCTCAATTTTCCTCAAGTTCTTATCCCACACCATTCTCCTCCAGCCCTCTTCTTTCTGAGGATGAAAGCAGACATTGTAGCCATTGAAAAAGAAGTTCTGTAAAGATGCTGCTTTTCGGTTGTGTTGAAAATTGATTTATGTTTGGCTACAGACTCTATACTACCCACCTCATGATAGTTTTTTCCATGCCAGCTCTTCCAGAGCTGCCAGTGATCGTCTAACTGCAGGTTTAAGCTTGGAGCAGCAAACACTGCACTCAAGCATAGCGTGAGGAGCGAGGCAAACAACATCATCCTGCCTGGAAGACTGTGACAGAGCAAAAATGCAAACAAAAGGGTTTATTAAAAGAGTCCTATAAAAAAAAAAATCAGTGTCAATCATAAGTATGAAAGTGCCAGTTTACAGCAGATCCATCAGTTTAGATGTTGTAGACAAAAACAAAATCAGAAGTCATATTGAACTGTTTACCATATCACCAAATTGGTTCATGCCCAGTTGGAAGGTGTGTTTGCCCACAGAGTGCTCAAGGTTGTGCAGCTCAATTTTCCTCAAGTTCTTATCCCACACCATTCTCCTCCAGCCCTCTTCTTTCTGAGGATGAAAGCAGACATTGTAGCCATTGAAAAAGAAGTTCTGTAAAGATGCTGCTTTTCGGTTGTGTTGAAAATTGATTTATGTTTGGCTACAGACTCTATACTACCCACCTCATGATAGTTTTTTCCATGCCAGCTCTTCCAGAGCTGCCAGTGATCGTCTAACTGCAGGTTTAAGCTTGGAGCAGCAAACACTGCACTCAAGCATAGCGTGAGGAGCGAGGCAAACAACATCATCCTGCCTGGAAGACTGTGACAGAGCAAAACAAGATACAATTTGAAGGAATGTAACAGGAGTTACACAGAGACTACAGCAGTAAACGTTTAACCAGTTACACAGAGAAAATCCCCAGTGTGCAAGTTGTGCTAAAAAGACCCTGAATAGGTACAAAGCCAAATAATAGGACGTTCAACATTAGCAAGTTTTACAAGCCTAAAAAACATTCAAGCAGTTTCTTTTTAAGTTAAGTTTAAACAAGTAATTTTAAAAGACATTTGATCCACTACAGGCGAAGCTGAAACCCACGTAAATATAATTCGAGCACCGTATACACAAGGAAAAAAAAAAACAATAAAGCCAAAGTGTAAATAATAAACTCAGCTTTAACCAGCAAACGAAATGATTGACTGGCATTGCTTACAACTGAGCGGGATTTAAAGCGTGCCTGATCAAAAAGGCGGCCTCTCATTGGCTGAGGGTGATGATGAGTAAAGTGTTCACAGCCAATCAAGTCAAGCAAAAATCTCATCTACTTATGTGATCCAGCATCACAAGACCGAGAACTCATCACTTGCATATATTGTAACAAGATTAAAAGTTACATCCGAAAACTCTTTGCCTATATTCCTTTTTTTTGTTTTTTTTAATAATCGTTTATGACATACGAGGGGAAAAATTAAATAATAAAAAACATTAAAAATAAAAATAAACATTTGATTAGGGGGTGTGAAAATAATTGAGATTAAATGAGAATTATCAATCAGTTAAAATAAATGTTTTAAATGCAGGTTATTGGAAAGGATGCATTGTGTTCATGAGAATTCGGTGCTTTTCTCTGTTCTGTGTTAATTTTAATTTTAATTTGTGCTTGTCAAGATCATGACATGAAGCGTGTGCCTGACAAATGCAACATGCTCAGGCAGAAATTAATCAAAGTGAAAACGCTTAGGCCCTAAAGAAAATTCCCTAACTAAGCGTTTTGAAGCACAATCAGCGACTTGTGTTTTGTATGACTCAATATACTAAATATAGCAGACACAGTACTTCTTAGCATTGGCTAAGCTTGGTCTTTTAGTTGCAGAGAACAGGTTGTGACATAATTTTCACGCAAATTGTATTTTAAGTTTAAACCTTTTTGTTGTTGTTGCTCTTAATATGTATAACAACAATTCCCTAGCTAAGCGTTTTGAAGCACAATCAGCGACTTGTGTTTTGTATGACTCAATATACTAAATATAGCAGACAGTACTTCTTAGCATTGGCTAAGCTTGGTCTTTTAGTTGCAGAGAACAGGTTGTGACATAATTTTCACGCAAATTGTATTTTAAGTTTAAACCTTTTTGTTGTTGTTGCTCTTAATATGTATAACAACATATACTGAATATTATATAACCTTTATATAATATCGAGTAATTTTATAATTATAGGCTATAATGTATGAAAAACTCTAGAAGGATTCTTGGACATTAAAAGTGGCCTTTAATGCAATAAAAATCAGTTGATTCCTTCAGAAATGTCCATTAATGCAGGGGTTCTTCTGAAACTCTCTTTTCTGCCTTTCTCTGTTACAAATACAGGTATATTTTATATATAAATAAATTATATTTACTGGACATGATTGTTTTTATTTAGTAAATATATAGCATTACTGTTATACATGTGCTAGTCTCTAAGGATGATGGCTTACGTCATGTTTTATTGATATAAAATGATGTCATAAAGTATTTGGTTTATAATGAAAATCACTTATTCAGCACAAACCTTAGACGGTTACCAAAAACCACAACGCAGCCACTGATATTTCTTGCATACAGCATAAGCAAGGGAAAAAGGAAACAGAAAACAAAACTGTGGTCTGACGTTTGATGGAGTGAGACTCTAAATTTACATGTAGCCTAACCTGTGCAACTTAACAATGGCAAAACCATTGGTTAGACCCTGAAAGACACAGCAGGATGTTACCTGTTTCTCTTTTGCATCACATGTAATACAGTTTATTCTGTGGTTTTGTGCAAGAGCTTTTTATTTGTATGTTTGCATTTCTGAAGAGGAAGCAGTGAGATGTGACATGTTTATCTGTAGTATAGGTGTTAATGACTTTTGTGAGAATATACTGTCATGATTAATTCAGTCAATCAGCAGTGAAGTCATCAGAATCTGAGAGGAGTCAGAACAAATGATTGATGAAACAAATGATCAGACTTCAAACAATGCAACAAAAAAGAGACCATTCTGCTCCCTCTGCTGACGAGCTGAAAGATCACTCAGAAGTCAGGAAGTGACTTTTCTTGTGGTTAACTGAATAACTGAAAAAGTCCACATGCAACTAGTGCCATTTAGTTGAAACTTCTGCTAAGTTACTAATGACATTATTGTTAATAATACTTTTGGAAGTGGTAATATTTCACCAAAATCCAGATAACTTTATATGCAACGCAGCCTTGTGTAGAATCATTCAATCTTTTACACTGCCACCATCTGAACAACAAGGGTAATGCAAGTTGGTAGGATGAATTAAAGGGGTCATATGATGCGATTTCAATTTGTCCTTTCTCTTTGGAGTGTCACAAGCTCTTGGTGCATAAAGAAGATCTGTAAAGTTGCAAAGACTAAAGTCTCAAATCCAAAGAGATATTCTTTATAAAAGTTAAGAGTTAACCACGCCTGCACTTTTGACTTCTGCAATTTACAGTCATCATTCCGTGACACACTTCAGGCAAAAAAGGAGACTTTAATCATAACTGCAACTCAGTTAGAATATAATGATGTTAGCATTGAAAAACAAAGAGACAACATGTTTACTGCCACAGACACAAAAAAAAGTAGTATATTACAAAATAGAAGTTTATACAAAAATAAGAATGAACTAAAATCTATTTAAAAGCTAGAAAGAAAAGCACATGAGTGCATATACCAGTCCACATGGGATTATTGTTCCCCATGGGATTTTTCTGACTTCTTTTTTGTCATTAAAACAGACAATTATAAAAATTATCTACAGTAAGTCCAGTAATATCCATTATAGACATAGTGTGTTAGGTTAATTCATATTCAGGTAATTGAAGTCTTCATTCTCCACCTCTTCTTCATTCTGTGAGCGTATGCGCTTGGGTCGCTTCTTATTTTTCAGCCGCACAGAGGGCTGACTGCCAGGAGGTCCTCCAGGATGCAACGCAGTGTTGCTTTTCCTCTTCTAGAAGAAGAGACATTGGTCAAATTAAAGGCAGAGTAAGTGATTTTTCAAAAACACTTTAGAAAACTGATTCGGGCCTTGAATACAGACCTAAGGTTGGTCTCTTTTTAAAGAAGACAATTAGCAGATTATTATAGAAGTCAAATTATTTAATAAAATGATAGTATTAAAACGTTATAGAAGTTTAAATTTACTGTAAAGAAAATGTATTGTACTATTTTTATTTTATTTTATATAAAATAAATATTTTAAAAAATAGTAAAAAATACAAAATTGCTGTAAAATTAAAGCCATATGTCTACATAAGTTGTGTTCCAAATTTGAAGTTGATATAAAAAAAAATTGAGGTTCATATGCTATTTTGTTTAGACGTTATACCAAAAACAGCCACCGGGTGCCACCCAAACTCCATTTTCATTTTTTTTTTATGCATTTCTGTCACAAATCTATACATTTCTCTCTCAATATTATGTCTATCACAAAAAAACCACCAAATATGGAATCTTGATACTCAGATTCTAAAAGACCGTAATACATTTTGTAAAATGATTTTGAAATACCATTTCTATGGTAACGCAATGCCTGATTTCAAAATGGTTTTCACAGGATACATTTTGAGATTTTAAGCTTTCAAATGGCATATAACTTGTGATGATTACTAAAACAAGGCAACAAAATAAAGACTTTTTGTTACAAAGGTAAGAACTCCTGTTATGATGTAGATTTGTCATAGACTCTTGGTGCACTCTTGTCATAAATTAATCTATTACTGTTCCTACATAATTTGTAACAAAATAAAATGGTAAAAAAAAAAACTATTTAGGAGACTTAGACCTTTCCAATGATATATAGTTTGTCATGATTATATTAGGATTTATTGTACTATAATGAATTAAAACACATTTACAGAAGACATTCCAAAACTTTTTTTAAGAAGTGTGTGGCACTCACATTGGTCTTTATTCATTAAACATGAGCAGAAGGAATTTCTTTGTAATCATTCACTAAACCACTCGGTCATATGTTGTTGCGTTGAATTCAGCAGATTCTGTTTTGTTCTTTAGAATGTGGACGAGTTTGGGATCATTACCTTATAGCAAACCACTCCTGCGATGATTCCACATAATACTATTAAACCTATGCTGCAACACACAGAGATTATCGTGATGGGCAGGTCACCTGCGAGAAGATTAACACAATGTTTCATTTTTTTTTCTTTAATGTTTCTCTGTTTCGTATTAATTGGCGAAAAATGCAGGTCTGTGCATAAACAAACATCACTACATTTATTCAGATTATACAGTTACAACAGAGTCAAAACAAACTATAAGTATATGCAAAAACAAATATTCAAACATATATTCACAGATCAAACTCTGTTCTTCTTCTCTTTTTTTGTATTGCATGAAGAAGTTTGTCAAAACTTTAGGATGCATTTAATTTGTATGTTATGTGTATTGTGTTTTTGTTTTTAAACAAAGAAAGAGCTAATTACTATTGTGTCATGACCCTCACACTTGATTCTGAGTGTTAAAGGCACAATATGTAATTTTCGCCGCTAGAGGGCGCGTATTCAAAATAAACAAAGAGACACATACTAGATACATTTGAAAGTTCTGTTATTATGCTACTATGTGCGGTCGTCACCGGTCTATTAAAACACACAACATATTAAAGCTTCTTTGGTGTTTCCATGTTTTCTACAAAACAAAACCGGTATTCAAGGGGTTTGACATTATTGGCAGGCGACACAATGGTGGTCTGTGTCACTATAGTTAAAATTGCTTATTTCTCTGGATTTAAACATTCTTCGAAACATTTGGGATAATGTAAGTACACAAGTCAGCAAAATATATAACACTGTTCTAGTGGTTTTTGGATATTTTAATAAAAAAAATCTTACATATTGTGCCTTTTAATGATAGTCAGATATGGGTGTGACTAGGTAAATAGCCATAAAATGTTTATATTTCTATATAAATATAAAATATCTGCAATAACAACACTATGCCTGGTGTTATGTTGAGGAAGATGTCTTATAAAATAAATATTCTCACCATTTTCTGTCGTTTTCTCTAGCTTATTTTGTCCTTGAAGACTCCCATTTGGGAAAGTGGTGAGTTCGTAACAGTAAGTCACAAAGTCACTCTCTTGTAATTTATCCAGTATAATGCTGTGGTTAGATTTTACGGAAAGACGACCAGCATAGTTGTTGTCAAATATAGTAAGTCCATGGATGGGGCTGAACACAAAAACCTTCTGATTTGGACACTTTTTCCATACAGGGTTACTTTCATGTTTGTTGTAACCTTAAAATTAAAAGACGCACTCCCACCCAACAGAGCTCTTATCACATCTTCATCTGTCAAGGCCCCTATGAAAAACAAACAGAGAAAGAAGTGCAAATAAAGAACTATGCAATTGTCCAAACAACAATTTTCATAATTTAAGTTTTTTTTCAATGTGATCAGTATATTAGTTTGTAATCAGTGAAGCAGTAAATGTAAATGTTCTTTATTTTTAGCTGCTTTTGAACCTGTATTTTCTAATGCAGTTTCCTTGCATCTTTTTTTGTAATACACTACCATTTAAAAGTTTGGGGGCAGTAAGATTTTTCATTTATGAAATTTATTTAAGAAAACAATACTTTTGTTCAGCCAGGATGCATTAAACTGATCAAAAGTGACAGTAGAGACTTCTCCTTGCTATGAAATATTTCATAAATGTTGTTTTGAACTTTCTATGCATCAAAGAATCCTGAAAAAATACCTCATGCTTTCCACAAACATATTAAGCAGCACAATTGTTTTCACATTGATAATAATAAAAAATATTTCTTGAGCAACAAATCAGCATATTAGAATGATTTTTGAAGAATCATGTGACACTGAAGACTGGAGTAACAGCTGCTGAAAATTCTGCTTTGCCATTATAGGAATAAATTACTTTTAAAAAGAAAACAGTTAGGTAGTTTTTATAATATTTTACAATATTACTGCAATATTATTTATTATTTAAAAAAAAAATGCAACCTTGGTGAGCACAAGAGACTTCTTTCAAAATCCTCACAAAAAACATATAGACCTCAATATTTTGAACGGTACTAGCCTAAATATAAAAAAAGTAAATCCTCTCTCTTTGTGTGTGTGTGTGTGTGTGTGTTTGTGACAGTCACACACTCTCTCACACATACCTGTTATAAGGGTTATAAAGAATATCAACAGATGGATCCAGTGCTGTTCAGGCAAAAGAAAAGAATTAGTTTGTCCAATCCTCATGGTGTCTTGTGCTACACAGGACGTGTGATGCCGTCTGATACAATTCTCAGCAGAGACAGACAGTGACCACAAAGACAACCTTGATGGCTCTATAACACGTAAGGTGGGGGGCAGGGTGTCAGTAAATCACATCTATAAAAAATATATATAAATGTACTTCATGTAAAGGATTATCACATCTAAGATCTGTATAGTAGAGCAGGTGTGACTGTACTTTCTATTCTAGATTGAATACTATGTTGTTTTTAAAGTAGTCAGATTTTAAATCTTTGACACTCTTTGTACACTGCAATTTGTTTAAATAAAAAATTAAGCTGTACATTGCTTATATCAATCTTTTTTAATTTAAAATTGTAATATTTTGCACTTTCACTTTATTTTGCATATTTGTAGGAGGAAGCATTTTTTTCTGTTTTGCTCTGAATCTACATTGTGGTTGCACAGAGGCAAGAGGGCCAGCATTGCTCTAAAAACACTTCCTGTCTTTTCAGCTTCAAAGATAGCTAGGTCACTCACGACCCTTCCACAGTAATCAACACAACTCATGACTCTTACTAAAGCGAGTGGCAGTCTATTTATTGTGCATGACAGAATTTATTTTGTAAATTTATTTTTACACATATGAAATGATGGATGCTCATTAATTCAAGATGACAATACATAACTGTAAAGTACACCTCGACATAGCTTAAAGTGGTCATGAACTGCCTTTGCTTTGTATTTTGTACTGTTCTCCAAGGTCCACTTATAATGTTATCAAGATTTTTACATCAAAAAACATCATAATTTAGAAGTAATAGGTTGTTTTCTGTCCTGTTTTGACTACCCTCATCACTGTTTGAATAGACCTGGTGGATTGTAGACTCGGAAGTAAACGCCCACTGCTATGATTGGCTAACAGTTGTGTATGATTGACAGCCTACATTCTTCACAGATGGACACGGCTGGGATTTAGGTTAAAAACGCATTATTACTCAGTAAATATCAAACAATCTGTAATAACAGACAAAGCAATAGTGACCACGTAATAAAAACAGTTACTCACACTTGTGTAGTGCAACATTACTGTCGGATCCAATATAGTCAGCACAGCATGTTTTTTAGTTTCAGTATTTCTGAAAATCCTGCATGGAATTGTGCCGTTTGTAAATGAATCCAGGGTAAAATGAAGTGAACAAAAGACCAAGTTCTTACTGACGCGGTCTGGAACTTCATTAAAAATAAAGTTAATCAAATAAAGTGTATCGTTCGATTTCTGCGTAGACCTGCGTTTGCCTCTCTCATTATTTACGCTACATGTGCGAATCAGTGGGCGGGGCTAAACAGGCAGTGATGTAGAATCAGGTGTTGATGATCTTCAGCGGAAGCGGTGCTTAGCCACACTATTACGTCATAAAATGGCACATTCCACAACCTGTCGTTTTGAAAGGTTGGCTTCAACATAAGCTGTTTTGAGACTAACAATTAAGTTTTGAGTTCTGAAACGTACAAAATGTTTTAATAGCAAAATCACTTCTTGTATATTAAAAGATATATCATTTTGATTTCTCAGTTCATGACCCCTTTAACACTGCTGTTCAGTGAACACTGAACACAGAAACCTGTAGTTACAGAAGTGTACAACATCATTTGTCTTGAGAGAGAGCACACTACAAAGGTAGTAGCATATTTACAATTACATGGATTGTGAATTTGGTGTAAAGTGTATTTTTAGGTTTATTAGCATTTCAGGGTGTCACATTTTAACCCGGTTCTACCTATCATCAGATTAAATTTTCATAATATTTCTTATACTTGTCATTAACAACATACACACACTTGATTTCTACCCAGATTACAAAGTTGCCCACTTATGTCTGATCCATTTATGCCATAAAGTTGCAGTCTTTATGAGCAGAGTTTTGTTATATTTCATAAAAACATTGCTGTGGTCATATATCACATTGAACCCAATTCAATATGTCCGTACAGAGACGACCACTGGAATAAAAATCTTTTAAAAAATACCAAAAACATAGGTATTTAATATGTTTGTTCATCAGTTTAAACGGATTGCCTTAACAATACAACCGGGGCAAACAAGGTAAATGTGTCAACTAAATCTTTAGGCCTAACCAGATGCTTAGTTGTTGAACATATCGCATGATAGTTTAAATACCATCTGTAGTCCCTTGACTCATACCATGTCTGTGAAGGTGAAAGGGGAACCGTTCTCATCCGTGTTCATTGTGAGGAACTGAATCCAGTTCTGGAGGAAGCCTCGTGAATAGACGCCAGTCTCCACAACCAGGCCACAGAAGTGCCGTCTACCAGTTTTGTTGCGCAAAGCGATCTGAGCTTCGCGTTCCGTTACGTTGTAACTGACATTGATGATCTGAAGGATGAACAGGTGGAGCAGACCACCTGTTATGATAACGCTGTACCACACACATGTAAAGCACAGCGCTGTGCTACACACACAAACACACACAAATTAGGCTGAAAACACACTGTGTATGTGCATATTTTCCATTAAATAAGAGTAATGGATGATGTACCTGTAGTGATTATAGACTCCAGGGCAGTATAGAATGGCTGTGAATAGACTCTGTCTTGGACATATACTCTTTAACACCAAACTGATCCCGTAGAACGATGTCAGCAGGAAGAGAAGGAGCGTCAAGATGAACTGCCTGTGATTGGCTTGACCTACACAGCTGTTTATCCTGTCATGGAAAGTCACATACATACAAAGACACAAAAAGTAAGCAGCCATATAAACCCACATACAAACATTCTCATTCAAAGAACAGTTACACTACTTTATCTCTTTTCGGTGTGGCTTTATTGAGAATTATGTGGCTCATGGCATGTTCATATTTTCATTTGTGGCTGTGTGTGTGTGTTGAGGCAGCGTGGAGACAGATTGGCCTGGTGAGAGCTCCCTTTACTGTGCTGAAAGCTGCGGTCCTGTGGCCTTTGCACATGTCTCACCACCAGCCTGCCTGCTCCAGTGACGTCTTTTGGGAATCAGCTTGAACATATGTGTGTGTCTGATGGGGTAGGGAATACATGCATACAAGTGTGAAAAGATCAGAAAATGAATCAAATGATTGGCATAAGCACTACGTTAAACGATTCATTTTGGAATTGTTTAACTATTTCTGTAGTAGGGATTTGCATCTTATAAGGAAAAGCACAAATAACAACACAAAAATTTATATTTTAAATAACAGAAAATATTTTCAGTTGACTGATTACCCAGCAAACAAACACAAGTATAAAGTGATGTTATCAATGAACATCTAAAATTACAATGCAATGGTAAGTCTGTGAAGCCGAGATGACTCTCTCTCCTTTTATTGTTCATATACCAGATTTTTTTTTTAAATTTAGATTTTTAATGTTTATTTTATATAAATGTTTTAAAATAAGTATTGAATAATTAAATATTATATTATAAAATTCTATATTTGTACATACAATTTGTAAAACATTAATTATAATAAAAAATAATAAAATATAAGAATAAACACTTTAAATTAAAACTTAAATTATACAATGCATATTTGCTATATGAAACTTATAAATGGAATAACGTTACATCCTTAAAGGGAGTTATTATTTAGCATATACATATCCGCATATACACTACCATTTAAAAATTTGGGGTTGGTAAGATTTATGAAAGCAAAATGATTAATTTCTTTTAAATTGATCACAAGTGACAAGTAAAGACAAGTATAATATTACTAACATTTTCTATTTCTAATAAATGCTGTTCTTTTGAACTTTCAATTAATCAAGACATGTAGTTCAATAAAAATATTAAAAATAATAAGACATTTTTCTTGAGCACCAAATCAGTATATTAGAATGATTTCTGAAGGATCATGTGACACTGAAGACTGGAGTAATGCTGCTGAAAATTCAGCTTTGCCAATCACAGGAATAAAATAAAATTGAAAATATATTTAAAAAAGAAAACAGTTATATTAATTGTAATAATCTCTCACAATATTGCTGTTTTTACTGTATTTTTGAATAAATGCAGGCTTTGTAAGCATAAGACTTTTTTCTTTTCTTTTTTTTTTAAACAATGTTCAATTCACTTCACACTAGGAATAAAGTGCTCGTGCTCAATTTTTAAAGAAGAATGAATGAGACACCCACCAAACACAATGGTGGTCCATTCGAAGGACACAAGCTCCACAGATCCTGCAGTGCCCTGCCCTTGGTGGGCGCACCAATCGGCAAACAGGACATAACTTCTTCTTTCCTTCCTTTTCCCCATTTGACTGGCTGATTCCATTGCAGGGGGCAGAGTCTCCAGGTATGTTTGTGCTCTGATTGGTTGTAGAGATACTGTTAACTCCCTGAGCTAATGATTGGGATTTGACAAAGCCTGGTCCTTGTTTGGTGCGCACAAGGGAGATAAGCGTCAACATCATGCCTGTCGTCGCAGTAACCAGCTGCAGATTACTGACGTCTCCTCTGGGAACGATCTCAGTAAGGAAAAGGTAGTACATGTAGGCAAGGGAGAAAAGTGCCAAGCTAAGGAAAAACAATGTGCGTCTTTTCCTTCTGTGAGTCACATAGTAATACCAAAGCACCAGTCCTGGTAGGGCAGTTAGGACTACAACTCCCAACACACAGTTAATTGCTGCCACTCGCAACAGGCCAGGAATTAATACCATCGGAGGCAAGACAGATATTTCCAATCGAAGGGGTCCTATGGCACAACACGGCAAACCCAAACGATCAGCCATACGAGAGATGAAACGAGAGAAGGTGTCTGGCTTGTCCGGCTCTCCTCTGAGTAACCTAATGAGAAGCGGTGACAGAGGAAATACAGAATATTTCACTGAAAAGAGCAAAACGACTGTAAAGTAAAACATAAAAGTTTGTCATCATTTATACTCCTTTATGTTATCACTGACTTTTTGTATTGATAAAAGTTGCATAGTTTAAAAAAAAGCACTTATTACAGACATAATATATATATAAATGAATATAGCTAACCGCAGACTGAATAAAATGTTTTTAGATACTTAATTACATGTTAATTTCAATTAAATGAAAATGTATTAATAGTTTAAATGCATATTAAATTCAGTTAGATAAACTATAGTGCTTTAACCCAGTTCATCTTTATATGTGTACTGCTTATAATAACCATTAGTCATTTCCATTGAAACGTGTAATGCATTTAAATATATTAAAATACGTGTACATGATTAATGATCTTAACTGCCAGATCTCTGACCTTTCACAGGCGTCATCAAGTTCTTCACAGTCACAGCAGCAGTACCCTCTTTGCTGGTCGATGTCTCCACAGCAGCACAGAGGGTCATCTGGTTCTGGGGGCTTAAAACGTTCTCGTTTCATCTCTTTATGTCAGAGACAACCTGCTTCCACTGTGAAATCAAGCTTTCTTTAGGAGTACGTTAGATCACAACTGAGTGGAAAGGGTTAGTTCAACTTGGAACAGGGCTGTAGGTAGTTTTAGCAGATAGTTGACAGAACCGATGACTGCAGATTTCTTGTTCAGCTTCCTTACTGGTCATCTGCTGCTCTTTACATCAGAAGCTTCATGTAAAAATCATGCGTTGCATTGTCTGGAAAAAAAAAAAAGCATAAAATTGAAGATAATGATTTCCACCACCATGCTCTCCTTATTGTACACATTTTTGTTCCTGTTGATCTCAATTGTTATCAGACAATTCACAATAAAATATTTAAAGGAAGGTGAATAATTTTTATAGTTAACTTTCACACTTGTGGCCTAAACACAGGTCACAGAGGAAAAACACTGTCTAACACTTGGGATCTGACACTGGCACAGACATACAGGAGGACACACAATAATATAAGAACTGGTCTATAAATAATCTACATGGAGTGTAACAAAAGCAGAAAATATTAATATCTGAATCCGCTCTTTGTATCTTGAATTAAGGCCATCTCACGTCTCATGTGGATCCCGTAATTGGGCCATCAAAAAACTTTTCCCTGAGAGGCCGTTCTCCATCACAGTTGTCGGATAGAGAAAATAATTGAGTGGCATGTGTTTGACATGTTCTAAATTACATTTGTTCCCTGGAGAAAACAAAAGGTTTGCCCTTGAGTGTGCTGTGATTTAAAATGAACCCTACACAAGATGATTATCATTTCTGAAAACCACTTAAAATATATATCAACAATCATTTAATTTCAAACTTTTTAAAATGATCTCAAGATCAATCCGTTACCTATGGTTTAACAGCCTCTCAACACAGGTGGAAGTGCATCCCAGGAAGAGGCTACATCAATTTGTGGCGAGTCCTAATTCCTAGTTCCTCATCTTCTGTGATGCACTTTTAGTAGTTTGGTGAAAGAACAGGTCACTCCAGCTTTTTTTATTAGCCTAAAGTGTCAAAATGCCATCCACAGAAATCCAGCTGAAGTTTTCCAGTTAATCCGATTTTTTTCCCTGTCAAATGAGTACTTCCCGTAAAAGAACGCAGATGGAAATCCAGGCTCGTCTTCGTTTCATTTAAAAAACGAAAGCAAAATATATATTTTTAAAAAGATACATCATTCGTTTGCTCCTTAAAATACCTCCAATAAACAGAAAGGCGCGTCCTTGTAGGGTTTATCAGGCTATGAGGTGCAGCCCGTGAAGACTCTCAGGACTGTCCGGAAGGCAGTGATAGATAACTCTGCGCGCTTTAACGCTCCGCTCTCTCAAGCGTTCTGAGAGGGCAGGCGCGTCAGAGGATCTGTTACAAGCGTTATTACCGATTAGGGTTGGGTGGCGGCGATGAAAAAGGAAGCTGGCAGGTGTTACCGTGACAGCGACAAAGTGAAGCAACGCTGCGCGCATACCGTGCTTAACCGGCGGGCCAGACACTGGGTCACAGTCGCCTTTTCACCTCAACTTTTAACCCTTCTATTGTGTTCCCGTCAATTTTTACCCGTTGTTATTGTCAAGTATTTGGATATTGTATGTAAACAAACAAAATGAAAGTCAATTTTAGTTTTATGACAATAATTATTTTTTTTCTGTGAGCTGCATGTTAAATTTGAACCAGTCAAGACCTTTCACCTTTGACCCTTCATTGTAGCCTTAAATAGGCCTATTTTAAATTCTATTGTTACTATTATTTATATTTATTATTATATTTATATTATGTATCTTTAATGACTGTAACTTTTCAATTTTGGTAACACTTTATTTTAAGGTGTCCTTGTTACACATTACATGTACTTACTATTATACAGTTTTTCTCAAATGGTTGATCTAGTTGTCATAAATTGTCAAGCATATTTTCTACACATTTCTAATAGACTTTTTGTAAATTCGCCATGAATTGTGCAAGTGAATCTTGACTTTCGCTAATGAAGAGAATGTAGATCAACCAGTGACAAACCAGTTCTCTGAAATAGCTCAAAGGTGCATCTCATGAACCTTCAATTGGAAAGCATATATATAGACAGAGGACAACACAAGAGTTACAAATTCTGACAATGGACTTTCTAATTTTGTATTTTCGCCTTTGAGCCCATATTTCTTTTCTATATCACAATGATATTGTAATGTGTGTGTTTTGTCAGACCATAGTAAAAGTGTAACTGTGAATCCTATTCAGTCTCTTTCAATCAATATTCCACATACAGTCATGTGTAAATTTGTACTTTTAAAATGGATATATGGCATACAGAAGTATTTCAATACAGTAATTGTCATCCAAACTGTTGCCATAGTTTACATCAGGTAATACTACTGTAACAGAGTGCAGTGTTATATTGACAACATGACTAAGCATTTGGACTATCTTGTTTGAGAACAATCAATGACACAAGGACTTTTCATTCTGATGGCACTGATATGTTTATTGACATAAATACTTACTTTTGAGAGATGAACTAAAGATTTTGAGTAAGTTACAGGCTTTTGCAGGTAATCCATTGTGTGGTGCTGTTTGTCTGAATTGTTTTGAGAATGCACATACTTCTTTGCAAATATTAAGGATGATTTGAGAAATGCACCAAAGCGACTGAGAAAAACTGTAATAACTATAAATTATACATAATTGCATGCAAGTAACCCTAAGCCTAACCCTAACCATATAGTAAGTACATGTAACTAATTAATATTGCTCATTTGGGAGACTGAAACTGTAAAAAGCATTGTCTCTGTATAGTTAAATACATTTGCTTTTTCAAAAATAAAAATACTTCACACAGTGAAGTACAGTGGGGATAAAGGCCCCTTGGATGTAATTTTCTCCTAACACAAACATGGTGTACAAAACCACTACAGCACTTATCCAAACATCTGCAGTGCCACAACAAAATTTCATGAATATATTATGATTTATTATTATTATTTAGTCAGGTAGTATTGTGTTTCCGTTATAGTTTTAGATTATTAGGGCTCAAAACGAAATATATATATTTTTTTTTACATAAACCATGAATGGGCATGACGTCTCTGCTACTAACTTTCTAGAAACATCGGCATTTCATTTTAGCTTTTCTCAGCCAGAATCACAAATACCCATAGACCAGGTGTGCTACTGCTCATCCAGCACGATTCTTGCAAATCAGCCATTAAAAGTTTCCATCCGGTGGTCAGCAGGTGCTACATGATGGGAGAGGCAGTGGTCCCTCATGGAGTTTATATGGTGGCAGAGAGCGGACCTCCTGCAGTCCCCAATCCCATGCAAAAACAAAATACTGGGTTACTGCCAAGTCTTGACTGACGCTGTATAAATGTCATAAGATCACTTACGGTGCTCATAACTCCCTTCACCCCAAACTTGGTTGTGTGTGTACTCAGCAGTTGACGCCTTGACCTTTAGCAGCCATATTTGGAGGTCAGGGTCAAACTATGGTCACTGCAGAGATGATATGTGACCTCCTCATGATAGTTCGGGACAGATGTGAATCCATTTGATGTGACCACACCCTCTGAGATCAGGTTTCTTGTAGGTGCTGACCTGACCCAACAGGGGGACACAGTGTTCCCTCATAAAACCATTGCAGGTTCCTGCTATTGCAAAGCACACTAGGCACCTGTCAAAAGCAAATGACACTGGGACTACAGTTTCACGAACAGAAATCTTTGTCGTTTCTCCGATCACAAATGCAGACATGGTTTTATGTTTACGCGGCGCGATGCAACGCAACGCGTAAAAAGACAGTATAAGTCATTATAATCCGTAATTATATCCCCACTGGATGCAACAAATGCCTCGTTTATAATGGGTTTTATTGGTTTTGTCTCGTCGCTCCGGCCGGTACATGGCATCACAGTATGGTAAGGGGAGTAACATTTCCGTCACACACTTGAGGTATTCAGCCAATCACAACGCACTGGATAGCTGGCCAATCACAGCACATCTCGCTTTTCAGAACGATGAGCTTTGTAAAAATCGACAGGTTTCAGAAAGGCGGGGTATAGGGGAGAAACAATAATGTACAGTATGTGGAAAATAATGTGTTTTTTTAACCTTAAACCACATAAACACATTTCATTACACCAAATACACCAAATAATGTTATTTTTAGCAACATCATATGACCCCTAAAAAAGACTCAAGCGCAAACCCTGGCTTTATATGAACTTGCTTTTACAAAAAGTCTGTATGTGCAGGACTTTTTTTTTCTAAATAATATGCATGTGCATAACTTTCAGTTCATTTAATGGTATAAACACCAGTCACGATTAGCAACACACAAAGCGGCATTCTCAAGTGCAAGAGGCTTCAACAGCCACAGTTTGCTGATATATCAGTCTATAAAATTCAACAGGTGTTCTTCTGCTATGACCTCATCGTTTGAGGCAAAACAAAGTAAACAGATTACACAAGCAAAATATGAAGAATTTATCCCTTCTAACTGCTCTTTATAATCTGCTGATTTGGGGCTCCATTTCCCCAATTGGTACACTGGACCTCAGGTGTGCTTTTGTGTGTGCTTGTGAGTATTTCATCTGAGAATACAATTAATCACAGAACTTGTTTGGTTATACAATGAAATAAGAAGAAAAAAAGTTCTCAACCTTTTTGACTCGAAGGCCCCCCATGCACTATCCAACAAAATGTTGTGTTCCACAGAGGAGGGAAAGTAATCCAGGTTTGTGAGTAAATGATGACAGAATGTTCATTTTTGGCTGAGCTGTCCCTTTAAAGACAGCCATAATCAACTTAACAAAACATTAGTGTGTAAAAATATCTTGCAGCACACTGGCTCTGGAGTCTTATCTAGGCTCTGTCATGATAGTGCAGCTCTTACTGTAATGTCTTACAGTAATGCAGTTGGTATTGAGCTTCTCTGTGGTGGTGAAGACTAAAAGTGAACCGGAATTAACTGGAGGAGTGTGTTAAAAGCCTGCATATGATTAGCACTCACACACACTCACATACGGCAGCCGAAATTTAGGCTTAATGCACTTGGTCTAATGCAGTCTGTCTGTCTAATGCATCAATGGGTGTAGCCTGTTGTCTTTCTCTGTCTGACGGAGATGACATAATGATCCGGAAACTCAGTTTATCCATAACCGTTATGCATTTTATGTCTGATAGAGAGCAAGGAAGAGAGACAAATTGCATGTGCCTATTTTTGCAGAGACGGCTGTATTTGCTCTACACACACTCTGTAATACAATCATGAGCAAGCTGGACAGTTTCAAAGAGGCGCAGCAAACAGAAAGAGCAGGGTGTGACATGGGACCCTTTGTAATGATAAACTCTAAAACAAATGTCTTTATAATTATATCCTGCACATTAAAATAGCATGAGCCATATGCATGCAAATTCATAATGGCCTTCCTAACAGGGTTTTTGAAAGACATGTATTTGCAAACAGACAGACAGTCACAAATCACTATGGAGCATTTCAACATAAACTCAATAAACATACCTAAAAATTCAGCTTGAGTAATACAAACGAAGAACTGTTTTAATTGCCTGCCATACACTGAGATGATGGGTGTGTGACAGCTAGCAGGACATGGAGAAACTTACTTACACAGCTACTCACCAATATCATTTTACCAGTATATATTAGTCTATCTAAATATTCTACTTGGTAATCTGTTCATCCTCCTTTCTTTCGCAGTAGAGTTGAGTTTCAGGCTAGATAACCACATCTACTGCACATCTCAACACAACAGACCACATCCATTTGTCATCATGTAATCTCCCCCTAATAGACTCTGTAGACACTTTGAAGACTCTGGAGGGCTCACATTGCTCTTGCGGGAGATTTTAAGACAGAAGAGAACTGTATAAATACCCTTTGACAGAAGCCACTTAATTTAGTTACGGCACATAATGGAGGGCGATTATGTACAATGTCAGAATATTGGAAGATGGTTTAGATAGATAGATAGATAGATAGATAGATAGATGGAACTAGAAGAAGGACACCTTAAAATAAAGTGTTACCTTTTTTCTTAGTAACTGTAACAGATTACAGTTACATTTATTTTGTAATTAAATTACAAAATCCCCAACACTGCTGACAAATGTTTAGTTAGTATAGTTTACTTAAACGAGAGTTCTAGTAACTAAAAAAGAACTGTAGGGGGTACTTGATCCTTTACTTTAGATTTACTCTTGACTTAGTATAGGTACTCACTGACTCCCAGAGTGCATTGCGGCATGAATAAATAATGCAACTGCTTTGTTTTATTGTTGTTGCTTTACAGCTAGCAGGACATGGAGAAACTTACTTACACAGCTACTCACCAAATATCATTTTACCAGTATATATTAGTCTATCTAAATATTCTACTTGGTAATCTGTTCATCCTCCTTTCTTTCGCAGTAGAGTTGAGTTTCAGGCTAGATAACCACATCTACTGCACATCTCAACACAACAGACCACATCCATTTGTCATCATGTAATCTCCCCCTAATAGACTCTGTAGACACTTTGAAGACTCTGGAGGGCTCACATTGCTCTTGCGGGAGATTTTAAGACAGAATCTAGAGAACTGTATAAATACCCTTTGACAGAAGCCACTTAATTTAGTTACGGCACATAATGGAGGGCGATTATGTACAATGTCAGAATATTGGAAGATGGTTTAGATAGATAGATAGATAGATAGATAGATAGATGGAACTAGAAGAAGGACACCTTAAAATAAAGTGTTACCTTTTTTCTTAGTAACTGTAACAGATTACAGTTACATTTATTTTGTAATTAAATTACAAAATCCCCAACACTGCTGACAAATGTTTAGTTAGTATAGTTTACTTAAACGAGAGTTCTAGTAACTAAAAAAGAACTGTAGGGGGTACTTGATCCTTTACTTTAGATTTACTCTTGACTTAGTATAGGTACTCACTGACTCCCAGAGTGCATTGCGGCATGAATAAATAATGCAACTGCTTTGTTTTATTGTTGTTGCTTTTGATTTGCCAGTTTTATTTGTCTTGTGTCAGTAGTAGCACAACAAAAAGAGCAAATAAAATGGCTATTGTTACAGTTAATAAAAATAAATAAAATGTAATTGTTACCATTGTTGTGAGTGATTTGCATGCTAAATGTTGAAATCTGTGTGTGACTTGAGCATTTTACTACAAATATTAAAGATTATATCAACCCAATTAAAAACTTCTCAAGGTGTTTATGAAAAACAATGAAAATATAAAAGATAATTAATAACCATAAAAAATACACTAAAAAATGATTTAATTAGAAGATATACAACCTTCTAAAAGCAAGCTATTTATTACTTTTCTTTCCTTGAAATCAAATAACTCTGATTTCATGATGAATTATAATAATAATATAAATGAAGTTCCAAGTGCCCAACCAAAGGGAACACTAATCACTATAATGGTGAGTTAAATATTTTTTTTAGGAAAATCAACATCAATGTATGAAGTCAGCTAATGTGATGTTCTCTCAAATATTTCAGTTGTATTGAAAATTCAATATTCAAGATGACTTTGGGAAACAAGTGAATGCAACTAGTGAAAGATAACTGCAGACATGGAGGAAATGAGTGAAAAGTCTATTAAGAATTGACCCACCTCAAAAACTCTTTTTCTTCTCTTCTTCTTATGTTATTGTTGCACATTAGCAACATATTAGTGCACTGCTGCCTCTCACTGGTTTATTAATGTCATTGGTTCCTTTGTGGCTACTTGAATATTTTAAAGGGGTCATATGATGTTGCTAAAAAGAACATTATGCTGTGTATTTGGAGTAATTGTAACGGAGGCCAGCGAGTAGGTGCTGTGCAGGTAAACCTCACTCCCCTGATCTCAAGAGGTAGGCGTGGCTGACTCTTAACTTTTATAAAGAATATCTCTTTGGATTTGAGACTTTAGTCTTTGCAACTTTACAGATCTTTATGCACCAAGAGCGTGTAACACTCCAAAGAGAAAGGAAAAATTTAAATCGCATCATATGACCCCTTTAAGTAAGCGCACTGTCAAGTCAAAGCAGTAAGTAAATTATTTTATTTGCCTTGAAATTAGCTGTAACTTAATAAAACCCAGTAAGTATAACAACTAAGTAAAGATAACTAATTATATCTAAGTAAGGTAAACTATTGGATTTAACAGTGCTGTAAAACAATGCAATGCAGTTTTTACCAAAATTAAGGTAAAACTCCTGTAAAACATCAATACGCAAAAAATCCTTAACATTAATACAGTAAATTGTGCCCTGTTTGTAACGGATTTTTTTTTACAGTGTAGATAGACAGATAGATATGCAAGGTAATACTACTGTTTGGGTGAAAAGGGACTAAAGTGTGTGTGTGTGTGTGTGTGTGTGTGTGTGTGTGTGTGTGTGTGTGATGTAGGAGGGGGAGATAAAGTGAAGCTCTGTCAGCTCAGTGTAAGAGTGTGACACTTCTCTGAGACAGAAATGGCTTTCCTCGGTCTCTTAACTTCTAGAAACTTACTTAGTCACCCTTTCCACTCTGCCCTCACAGGTAAGAGTATATCTTTCTCTTAGCATTTAGCTTTCTCATTTGTCTGTGTTCTAACGTAGCTTGACAAAATTAACAAGGAAACTCAAACAAATGAGCAGACTCTATCTTCCCTCCCTCTTCAAGTAATCATATCCACAAACATTACAATTCAGCAGCTAGACCTTCATAAACACACACGAACATCAACATGTGCCAGCCAGGGGTAACCTAATAGTTTGTGGTCATATTTTTTTTATTTTAAACAAACTGTATATCAAAAACATTTTGCTCTCATTTCTCAGTCCGCATCTGTTAACCCTTAAAATGTTTAAAATGGTCATCAAATCAACATTTACTGTCTGTTTCACAGTTAATGTTCTTCTAATTCCAAGTGTTTATGGAAGCAGCACTTTCTGAGACATTAATGAACATGTAATACTGTACTGAGGCTGCTGCCGCGTTAATGTTATCTTTCAAATATTACTCATATCAGTTTAACGTTTTTGAGTTCACTGAGTTACATGACACCGCTCTCGTCAAGTCTATTTGTTGGTAATTCAGGCTTGATTCAGAAAATTTGAGGGATTCATTCTGAACAGACTACTAGACTACTGCTGACCGAATAAAGTGATGCTAGAAGGATTTACGCTCCACGCAGGACTTTTGATATTTTAATCCTCGCGACTTTTGAGTCTCTAATTTTAGTAAAGGGACTTAGTGTGACCATAACACTGCCATGTAAGCTACTGTATATTTATAGTTCATAAGTGTGTATATGTGTGAATTCTTGACTGGTTGCTATTCTGCTTTAAACATGCTAAATCTTGAGTTTTGACCATAAATTATATACATAATTAGTTAATGAGCCCCACATACATTTGCCTTCACATATAATCATTGCACTCTCAAATAATAATGTTGTTTTATTGACAGGTGGGCTTCTTTTTCTTTGTCTACTTGTAAATATGACCATTATCGCCAGTGCCACTCCAACTCCCCTGACCATCCTCATCACGTCCACAGCAGAACCTTTATCTTCTCTGCCTGCTGATGATCCTCCCGGCTCACAGGGGGCCTCATATTTACAACAGCCTCCAAAGGCAAAAGCTGTGGAAGGGGAGGATGTGGTGTTGCCCTGTTTTTTAAAGAGTGATGTGGATGAAGTACAGGCTGTGGAGAAGGTGAGGTGGTATGTGCAGAGTTTGGAGGGAAGGAAGAATGTTCTACAAGGCAACGAGACGGCAGAGGAAGAGTTTGCTGGCCGTGTGTTTTTGTCTGGTGATCTGTCTGAGGGAGATCTATCCATGACACTAAGGAATATTTCGGTGGAGGATCAAGGCCTGTATTTGTGTGCCTTCATATCAACACGCTCGACTGTTCTTCAGGGAGGCGGGACCAAACTCAGCATCCGCAAAGGGCTGGGTGAGAAAGGATGAGGGGTGCAAAGATATTAGTGTAAAAAACAATATATGTTTATCCTTTTTATCTTTTAATCGGTCTATGGCCTATAATCCTCAAGGAAGAGTTTACCAATCTTTTCAGTACAGTTCAAAGCAGGGTTACTACAGTTAATTAAAACTAAAACAACTAAACTAAAACAAAAAAAAAAGAACAAATAAAAAGAACAAAGATGTCATTACTTGAAATAATGCCAAGGCAGCATTTCTCATTTTTGTGTGCTAAAATAACTTAAAACTGAAATAAAATGTATGAAAACTATACTGTATAGACATACTTAAAAAAAGAAAAAAATGACAAAAGCACACAACAAAATTGCTAAACTTTATAATCAAAATGAAATGGAAAATATAAAAAATGAAAATATTAATAAAAACTACAATGATACTAAAATAACCATGTTTCAAGGAAGAAAATATAGTAAAGAAGCAGAGCTAGGACTAGAGATTCACCAATATTAGAATTATGGCCAGTGCCTATAATCTGTTATGGCCAATAAAATGAAAATAATAAAATGAAATTAGCACGATTAAAGATTTTCTAACTGAGCACTAGGTAACTGCAAAAGCAGTCTGAATAAATGTGAAATCTGAAGTATTTTGTTAGGGAGCCCATTACATTCATGTGAGACAATGAAAGATGACAGTGAGATTCTAGCTTTTTCTTCACATCCGCTCAGGTGTGATTGAAGAGTCTGTGGGCACTATAATTGGCATCGTTGTGGCAGTTGTTGGCGTGGCAGCGGGGCTGGTTGCTGTGATACTGACTCAGTTCAAGGACAAACTGAACTGCCTGCAGAAATGAGACACGAGCGACAGCTTTGGAGCTTGGAGGTTAAAAGTGCGGTGAGGCTACGGTAAAGGCTAAAGGTAAAAGTGTACAAACACACATACGCTCACGCTGCCAAGAACTGACCGCAGTGCATGAGAGAATGACTTAACTGAACGGTGAGGCATTTAGCTCACCCCATATTCTGAATCATAATATATACGATTACATAGACAAATAGATCCGGTGACCCTCCTCGAACACATACCCACCCCATCAGATCTAACAATGATGAAAAAGAGCAGCTGAGTTATGAACTGTCGAGGTTTTGTAAGCTTGCACTGATGAGCATGCATTTCCTTTGTAAGAATAAGTACATGAGCCATTTGAAAATGTCTGATTTCTACATGAATGGTTCCTGAGATGATTCATGTTTTTGTTTATTTCATCCAGTCTGCTGTGTATTTATTATTTAGTTTTATATGACTTATATAGGTGATACAACTTTCAGTTCATTGCTCTGTCAATGTTCAAAACCATCCCATGCAAAATTATATTTGCATACTTGCGTTTGCTTTTTATTGATCTATATGCATGCACATATATGTTTTCAGAATTGCAAGTCTTTTAATAGTATCATAACAACATATGATAGATGTTGTTTAGTAGACGCTGATGTAAGTCCTTTGCATACCTCAAGTGGAGCAGATGGACTGTTGAGTGGATAGAATGTTTAGCAGAGGCCATTATGAAGTTATATCAATCAGAAACTGATCTTGTATCAGCACTCAACACTGAATACATTTCCTCTCAAGAGAGGCCTGATCTCAACACTCGTGCTGTGCTTCAGTATTCTGTTTTGATTAAAGAATATTTGATAATTGCAAAGTTCTTCATTTTCACCTGCATGCCTTTTGTAAGACCCAGCAGGGCCTTCGCTTCAGAAATAGCCGGTTGTGAACTGGTTTGTGATTGTGTGATTTCGTCCCGTGGGCTTAGGTTTGTTTACTGTGAAAATCACCATCTCTCCGTCTGACACAAATAAACAAGTTTTATTATTCAAAGTGTCTCTGGTGACTTCCCTGTCTCATGTAACTACACAAGTAAGTAACCACAGCTTGAAAAACATCCACAAGGCCAGGCCAGCACAAGCCTGTCTCTGAGGAAAGCAAAATAAATATTGTGGATATGTAAAGATTTTCAAATTGGAAACATCTACAATACCATTCGAAAGTTAGGGTCAGTACATTTTTTTAAAAGAAATTTAGAAATTCTGCAAGAACACATTAAATTGATTAAAAGTAACAATATATATATTGGTGTTTATTTTACAAGTAACATTTCTGAAAAGACTTGCGTAGCTTTATATATATATATATATATATATATATATATATATATCAGGGCTGTACAGTGCGACATATATGTCGCAAAATGTTTTCTGAAAGATCATGTGACACTGAAGACTGGAGAAAAATTTACTCTTTAAAAAGACTGGAGTAAAAATTAAACTTTTCCATCACAAGGAAAAATATTAAAATAGAAAACAGTTATTTTAAAATGTAATAATATTTAGCAATTTTATTGTTTTACTGTAATTTTTTGATCAAATAAATGCAGCCTTGGTGAGCATTAACACACACACACAAAAAAAAAAACTTTCCGACCCCAAACTTTCGAGAGTGAGAGGAGAACTACTAATGGGCGTCGCTAGGCCATTTTTAGGGGGGCTATAGCCCCTAAACTTTAGCGATTAGCTCCATAAACTGTACACGAATTCGTGATGGCCTCAGTCCACCTTAAATTTCATCTGAAAACGACGGCAGACTTCGACCGGCTCCTCTCCGTCTTTCAGCGCGTTCTTTTTCAATCCGCAGAGCGAGAAACAGAGGACAAGGTGTGTGTTTAACGATAGATTGTTATAATATCTGCATCTATGCAGTTCTTTGTCATAAATCCAGTTTACAAAATATCATGGGGGAGCCATAATCAGTTCCGCATCTACTGTAGCCTAAGTTTTCACTACTAGAATAAAAATCCAATCATCTATTTTTGTTATAAAGCAGAGTCATTCAAACAGTTTCCTATAGTTTAATTCTTTGGAACTGAACACACAACACCACACACAATAAATGTAGTAATGTACCACTACAGAAGCCACAATACTCTACCCACACACCCATGCACACTCACTCACTCACTCACACTCACTCACATGAATATGAGAAACGATCAAAGGAACACACATAGAGCAGAAATCACATTGAGACAAAACAAGATTCAAATAAATAAGGGAAGCCTCAATGATCCCTTTCTGACTTCCATTGTTCCCATTATTATATAACACATTTCTATTGGTCACAGAGAAAAAAAACTGAGATGGGAATAAACACTGTGCTCCCCTGCGCTTTCCCACATGCAGCGAGGACTCGTGGGAAAGCAGGTGGTGAGAAAAAGAGAAGATGAATGTTTGCTGTTTTTGTGCTTCAAGTGTTGAGTCTCAGCACAGAGAGATCACAGAGGCATTTGCTTAAGATGCTAAAATACGATCTTATAGTTCAAACACCAAGCAACAGTTGTAGTTATAGAGTGAGAACACACACTCTTTTTACGTTTCTAAAGACCGTGTTCAGATTAGCGATGGCTACTAGCTCTGACTTTCATTCGTCTCGTTCAGTTTCAGCGTATATTCAGACGAGAGGTACACATGCACAAGAGAGCACTGGGAAATGCACAGCACAGCACAGGGGAGGAGAGAGCTGGGACACGTGTGAGGTCAAAGGTTGCTTTTAGTCCTCGAGAGTGCGGAAAGAATTCTGCATGTCTTCCAGCAGCTGAGCGTAGTCAGCTTTGATCTTTGCTTCACCCTCTTTGACTGGATCCTGCCAAACACAGACACATGCAGTTATGGAAAACTGCTCAATGTTAGCCACACAATGAATGTAAATAATCTAATTATTTAAAGAAACTTACAATAAATATTATAATGAACATGTATAAATAAATTACATTATTAACTAATTTTTCAGTCAATATTTCATGTCTTGCATTACAGGTAACAAGTAAATATGACCAATACTACATTAAACAACAGTCCAGTTACCATTAATGTTTTAATGTTGATCATCTTCTATATTGTTTGGTCAAAGAGGTTCATGGCAATAATAATGAATTGCAATATTTTATTTTTAAGGACATTTTAATACCTCTTTTTTTATAACTCCCGTTTCATTTGTAATACCAGATTTTATACTTCTGCATATATTCAAACACTTTTCAACATTTCACGAATAATTTTATGTCCTTTTTGGTTGAAAACAGGACACAACAGACTCATTATATGATACTATCAGAATCAGAAAGAGCTTTATTGTCAAGTATGTTTGTTTTGTTTATTGGTTTTGGTGACAGAAGCTTCCAGTACACAGACACAACAATAACGCACAGATAATAAAAAAAATGAAGAAGTGTGAATAAAATACACATATGTATGTATGCTGGTATATACACTATGTAGTATTATAATATTTATTACTCATTGAATTAGGTTATATTTTTATATTTTCAGTTTTTATGTTAATTTTAGTAATTTTTATTTTTTTTATTACCATTTTTATTTTTTATTTTAATTTATTTTGTACTTCAGCTTAAACTTATTTCATTTAGTTGCCAACACAGCACTCTTTTTAAGTTAAACGTTTTAATTTAATATTTATGTTTTATTTTACTTCAGCTTTTGCAACCTATGGTCTATGATCTTTACAGCTACAAAAATCCCAACATCAATATTTGAACAACGGTACCTTAAACTTCATGGAGCTGATGCGATAAAGAATTTCTCCCATGTGCTCACGGATCTGGGCCCAGGTGATCTTGTTATCGCTCTGCGCTGTGGTCTCGACAGCATGCCGGGCCAGGTCATAAAAAGCTATCATATTGGACAGGATCCCCACTGTCTTATAGAAGGGACAGAACCTGGAAGAGAGAGACAGGGAGATAATGTGAGAAAGAATTAGCACCGACTGACAAACAGGCAACTAGAACAAGATGACACCTAAAAAGAGGTCTGTGGGAATGTCACATTCTTCATATTGCACAGATGATTAGTTTACCTGTCATAGGGAGTGTAGCCGTTCTGCTGCAGGAAGTCATCTTTAATGAGTTTGGCCACCTCCAGAGTGATTTTATCGGTCTCAGCCAGGGAGGCCTGTGGGCAAAAAAACAAAATAAATGCATTCAGAATCAACAAATATACATTAAATATTTTATCAATACAAATACCATTACACAAAAAAAAATCTAAAACACTCTATTAATAACACTATTTGACAAACAACATACACAAACACCTTTCCAACAAGTTGCACAATCTCAGCCAGGTCCTCCTCCTCCTGCAGAATCTCTTTAGCTTTGGTACGAAGCGGCACAAACTCTGGGAAGTGTTTGTCATAGTACTCATCCAGCGCTCGTGTGTATTTACTGTAACTGATCAGCCAGTTAACAGAAGGGAAGTGTTTCCTCTGGGCAAGCTTCTTATCTAGACCCCAGAACACCTGAGAGCAACAGTTCAAATGAGAAGGGGGGGAAATAATGGAAGATTCTATTACTGCTTCATTTAAAAGAGTTAAATGACTGCTTAAAAAAATAAACATCACACCATGTTACAGACAAGCATTCATAGGAGTCACCCACCTGCACAATACCAAGAGTGGCAGAAGTCACAGGATCTGAGAAGTCACCACCAGGGGGAGACACACTGCAAAGAAATGAACAGAAACATCTGCAGTTAGAAACCGCCACAAAAATGCATGCAATATTTTTAGAAACACACATAACATTCACAAAATAATAAATCAGAGTTTGTACAAACGTACATATCAATTTGCATATTTATTAATAAGCCGCTTGATGTTATTTGAGTGTACTTACGCTCCCACAATGCTGACGCTTCCCTCTCTCTCTGGGTTACCCAGGCACTTTACTCGACCTGCTCTCTCATAGAATGATGCCAGACGGGCTCCAAGGTATGCGGGATACCCACTGTCTGTAGAAGGAAAACAAGAAAGTTTGATTATCCAATACAAGAAAGTTTGGTTTGGACAAGGCTGCACAATTTAGTCGAAACACCAAGTTGTGAATGTGGTGACAACTCATTGAAATTGCAGTTATTAAACATGTGGCATCTCATTTCTCTTCTGTTTGGGTAGGTATTCAAAAAACTGCATTGTAACCACAACTGCAGTGTATATGACAACAAAATAGCAACAATACCTCAATTTGGAGGAAGTTTGAGATGTGTTTTACACACATTTTGCTGCCAATACAAAGTATAATTTAAAGGGTTAGTTCACCCAAAAATGAAAATTAGCCCATAAATTACTCACCCTCAAGTCATCCTAGGTGTATATGACTTTCTTCTTTCAGACGAATCCAGTCGGAGTTATATTAAAAATGGTCTTTGATCTTTCAAGCTGTTTAATGCCGCTCAGCGGGTGTTGCATGCATCAGTCCAAAAGAAGTTAAATAAAAAGCGCCCATCCATAAAAAAAAAAAAAGTGTCTCACACGGCTCCGGGGGGTGAACAAAGGCCTCCTGTAGCGAATCGATGCGTTTTTGTAAGAAAAATATCCATATTCTAAACGTAATAATCACTTTAATGTAGCTTGCGCTAACAGTTGTACACGGAAGCAGCTCCGGGCTGATGATGACGTATGAGGTCAGTGCTGAGCATGCGCCGGTGAGTCTCGTGAAAACCAATGTTTGTTAACAGGAGCAAAGGAAGCAAAGTTTCCTTACTTTAGCAAAGGAAAACCAGTCTCATCTTGGCTTATATCGAAGTCCTCCGACATTCTTCTTTACAAATCCTCATTTTGTACAGTACAAGCAAAAATTATTTTTTTAAATTCAGTAGTAGCCTATAGTGATTTAGCAATCATGCAATCACAAAGGTTTAGGGTCGGTAAGGTTTCTTATGCTCATCATGGCTGTTGATTACAATTACAATTTAATAGAATATATTTTAAAATGCAATTTATTCCTGAGAAGCAAAGCTGGATTTTCAGCAGCTTCAATGCCACATGATCAGATGAAAACAGTTGTGTTGCTTAATATTTTTGTGATTCTTTGATAAAAAGAATGTTGTAAGAGCTGTACATACCAGCAGGCATCTCAGCCAATCGTCCAGAGATCTCCCTAAGAGCCTCAGCCCAACGAGAGGTGGAGTCAGCCATCATGCTGACGTTATAGCCCATGTCTCTGAAGTACTCAGACAATGTGATACCTGTTCACACACAAGATAAATGCATCCACATACATACATATATAGATTTCCTCTTACAGGTTTTGTTTCATTTCATTTTGCTATCAATAATCATCTCATAAAACCTGATTCACCAGCATTTCAGCAAACTTGATATATACAGCTCTTGAGTTTACCGGTGTAGATGGAGGCTTCTCTGGCAGCCACAGGCATGTTTGAGGTGTTGGCCACCAGTGCTGTTCTCTTCATAATGCTCTCCACCTTGCCATCCACCTCCATAGTTAGCTATCGAACAAAATTACAGTCAATCATCTAAACCAGGTTCATTTAAACCACATGACAGGGTCACTTGAACTTCTCCGGTTATGAATTTTTATATCGCATTCACAGACATTGTATAAATCAATGTGACTTAATCCTGGAACGTGTGATTATTGTAAGGTTATTCGATGACTGAATAAAAAACTTATTTGACAAAGTGACCAGGTATAGCATCATTAAACCCTGTGCCATACCAACCTCCGGAAAGTCTCTTAATACTTCAGACATCTCGTTTCCACGCTCTCCACAACCCACGTAAATGATGACATCACTGTTGGAGTACTTGGAGAGAGACTGAGAGATCACGGTCTTACCACAGCCGAAGGCTCCTGGAATGGCTGTGGTCCCTCCTTGGACACAACTGCAAAATGGCAGAAATTAGGACTTTACAATAATGGTTAAACTGATAATCATGAGTATTTTGCTCAAAATTTATAATCACAACCATTAATAATCAACATTTTGAGAAATTACTTTTTACATTTCATCAGAATTACTGCACTTCCAAATAAGCTCAAATCAAGAGAAAGTCAACTAATATGCATGATTTAACTAATCTCATTCCTGATTTATTATATATATTTTACAGTTCATCAATGAGAAGGTATGCTTGCAGATTTAACAGCAGCAAATAGCGCAAGCAGCTTCATAAAAAACACTGATTGGCTGTATTACGCTTACATTGGAGAAACTCCAACATACAGTACATGTTTGTCTGTGTTTTCGGATTATCTGTTCTTTTTCTGCAGTGCAAAGAGAGCATGTACACATGATAGCCAGGTTGGGAAGTTTAAGTAAAACAATAGGCAGAAAATGCATCCATTTAGGAGAAAAAAACTCTGATTGGGGAATCTGGCAACCCTATGCATGAAATCTTGTGGGGGTTTGTTACCAATGCAAGATAACAGAATTTGACATTTTCAGGATAGATAACCAGTGGGCCAAGACTGCAGACAAGTCTGTTTAATTAATGGAGAAATGAGAATCAAGAAAAGCTTAAGACTCACGGAAAGAGGGCGTCCAGTACTCGTTGTCCAGTCAGCAGGGGGTGATTTGCAGGTAGCTTCTCAGTAACAGGCCTCACCTGTCGCACAGGCCACACCTGCACCATGGTGAACTTCTCCTTTACTCCTTCAAACTCCAGTTCCAGCACCACATCCTGACACACACATGAAAAGGGAAGTTCCAGTAATTACTAATATTGGGTTTCTTCCTCATCTTACCTAAACATCTTAGGGAGTTTTTCCATCCAACTGTTCCTTTTATAACTAGGGTGGCCATATGTGCTGTTCATACGGGACACGTCCTGGCCAGGATTTTTATATTGCCTAAAACATCCAAAGTAGTTTGACCAATAACATGCAGGTATTGTATATAATCGACCTCTATTTATAACATACTATACAAATAAATTTTAATTGACGTGAACTACACTTGCATGCTTGTCCATAAAAGTGTGGTAGTATTTCAGGACATGTGAGGATGATTGTGAACTTGACTCACAGAGACGTCATAATTTCCTGGCGGAGCGAGGTAGGTGACTGTTCCCCTGCTGCGAGGGGGCAGCATGATCTTGTGTTTGATGAGAGAGTTCTCATAAACCAATCCATAGATATCACCTCCTGTAATGTGACTTCCAACCTGAAAAAACATCCAGTGCATAATTTCAATATAGCATAAAAATACTGTATATATACAGACAAAGGTACACATTCACAAAAGTCATACACATTCAAATCGAGGAGGCATGTGGCAGCTAAGATTTATGACTCAAATGGATTTTATATGCTATTTCCAAAAAGACTAAAATACATTTTCTTTACATATGATAATGATTTCTTTACATATGATAAATTCTACAATTATTGTAGATACAAAATTAATAGTGCCTCTTAAGATGTTGCCTTTTGGTGAATTTCATCATTTTAAAGCCTAAATATGTCATTTAGCCTGAAAGTTTTTGCGCAGAACCAAGGAGTTTTTCCATGCTGGTGGTTGAGGGAATCCATCCAAAATTTTACAAAATATTATTTTTGTATTGCATTTATCTCATGTGTATTATATATCCATTTAAATATCAGCCTTGTGTGAAAATGACAAGTGCTAGGGAATACATGTTGCAGGTGCGGCACATTAAGGACTACAGAAATGACAGCCTCGGTTTTACAAAATCAGCTTCCATACGCAGTGATGAGGTGCAGTTTAGCTTTGCCGTGCCCAGTGCTAATGGTTAAAATGAATTTGTTTCTAAAAGTTGCAAAAAGCTTACAATATTCTTTAAATTGTAGAATAGCAAAGGTAAAGGCGTTAATGTATGTTCTTGCTTTGGTTCATAATTCAGAAGTATATCACTGGGTCTGAAGACATTTCAGTAATTATTACAGTGAACGTAAAATTTTATTCTAAATAATAAAAGTAGGGCTGGGCGATATGGCCAAAAAAATTATCACGATAATTTTTTTTTATATCAGTCGATATCGATAATTATCACGATAAATGTCAAATCTTTATTTCTTTCAAGTTTAAAGCCAGATTTTTGCTCCACAGTGAAAGTTGTAGAAACCAGACCATTAATTTTCCTTAACAAAATAAATATCTAAATAGAAAAATGTATTTCTTAGTTTCTGCATGTTCTAATGAGTGATATTGTTTCAAATCAAGAAACAAATTTGGGTTGCCTGATAATATTAATAATAATAATA